ACTTGAGACTGATTCGTCAATTCACGAACAAATAAAAAAGATACACTCTGCTTCTTTTTCCTTTTTAGCGGGAATTGTGATCCTCTAATAACCCCATGAAAAATATTGTATTCTTAGACATACGATATATTTCTGACAACCCGTTTGGTTTTTGTGGGGGGGATTTTTAAGGAGATCTTTTTTCCACTAATCACTAATTAATTCACTTATTGAAATAAAATTAAATTCTCCTCTTATTGGTGTTACTGGCTTATTTGGGGTGAAATGATTTTAAAACAAAGATGTCATGCATAGTGCATAACAGAAATGACTAACCTGTAAGCTGAAATCAACTTCCTCAAAATCAATTATTTAAAATAGCTGCGAGCAAATTATGATTAAGTGAAGAACGTTCTTCTTACTCGACTGGCGCTACAGAATCACAAACTGTACCAAACAACAGAAACTACAACTATTGAAGACTTTCAGCAACAGCAACTAAAATTGATGTTACACGTAACTCGAAGATAAAATAATGACCTAATAAAAATGTTGAAATTCCACACTACTTCAAACAAAAGGTTAGGAAGGAAACCACCATCAACACTGGTGAGAGCGATAATGGGAGATTTTTAAAGCCTGTTTTTTGGGGGGGATTTTTTAATCTTGCTTTTATGGTAAGATTTTATAAATTTCAGCCAAAAATAGCACTGGCTGGTCGAACATTGACCTCTGAATGTTTCCTTATAAAGAAACGGCTGATATTACCATTACCATCGGGGATAGGGGAAAGAGAAAATATGCTTTGATCCCAGATCGATAGCCAGGGAAATCGGTTTCTCACAAATGGAAGAGAACTTAATTACTCGGTCTATAAATACCAAATGTTTCCTCATAAGGAAACTGTTTAATATTACCACTATCATAAGACCAGCTCTTGTTATCTTTAAACTATAGAAAATGCCTGACTTTGGACGTGACTATTCTAGAGACCAGCGAATAAAAAATTGAAAAGGAAAGTTGGAAAAATATTCGGATCTTGCAACAGGAGATCATATGAGAGCAACATTATTGTTAGTGCTATTAAAATATTCTGGAAGAATCTCTGGAAGGATTTGGAAGACTTTCTACACAGAGGAAGAACGGAAACAATCCAGACAACAGTTCTAATAAAGCCAGCAATGTAGCTGAGAATAAGCAAAAAGTATTGAGGGACATTGTTGTCACCAGCTTCAATTACCTCTTGATACTACCAATGTTAGAAATCAAACACGAGAAGGTTATAATAAATATCAAGACTGAGATTAGAACTAACCAAGTGTCAACAAGCAGGAGAAGAGGAAGCCCGCCAGACGCTTCTGCTAAATGGCAATGAACGGGTGCGGCGACAACATAGGTGTTGTGAAATTACATAAAAGATAATTGCACTCAATGACCTCTGCTTAATAATTTATGATCATTTGTTCCTTGTTGTTTTCGCATTTCACTTCCCTGGCTCGCTGAAATCTTTATCGCCGCTTTACATCGAATTGGTCCTGTTTGTTTGTTTTCAATCAGTCAGCCATCTTCGTTCTTTATTTCTCTCTTTTCATTCTTTCTTTACTTTTCTTTTCCTTTTTCTTTTTTTGTTTTTATTTTCTAGCCAATTGCTTTCTCATTGACAAATATGTAGAGTGGCTTACGGTAGCCTTACAAATAGTAAACCCGTCTAGTGAACAGAATTCAATAAGGAAGAGATTTCGATCTGGGATTAATCTAAGTGAACCACATATACCAAGTGTAACATTGTCCAAATCCTGTAACAGAAAAATTGCCCAATTGTTAGATTAAGCGTTGTATCTTAGAAATGATTAAAGATATCTTACTGGAATTCTCTGAGGTTTTATAACCTTATTGGAGCAATAAGAATGTATAATTACTCTCTAAGCTTAACAAAAGTATCGTGATGAAATCGATCATAAATGAAAATGACATGTTCATAATTAATTAATCATAGCTAATGATCTATTGAAATAAAATTCAAATATATATATATATATATATATATATATATATATATATATATATATTATTTCAGAATCATTTTACAACTTATTCAAGATGATCTTCGCCTTCTCTAACCTTCTGACTTTCTGTCCTGGAGTAACAAGTTGCTTCACACGCGTCACGTACGATTTCATTTTCAAGTCTTTTTTTTATTGCTTTTTGGACTGTCATAGCTGAAACTCCTCTCTCACGGGCCAAACTTCTTATGAAATGAGTTGGATCATTTCTCATTGATCTCTTTATTTCTAATTTGAAATGATGATCGCTCTTCCTGTTGTGATCTCTTGATCCAGATTTCCTCTCTGCTGTTCCCTATTTTTTAAACTTTTGACTTGATGTTTCTTGAATGGACTTCGAAGATGGAAGCCAGAGTAAGAATGTTAGTACCACTACCTAAAGCCTGAATGATTGTCTACCTCTCACCATTGCTTAGTTGCGAAGACAGTGGGCATAAACGAGACCATTGAAAGAGAAGGCCAGTGCTATGGAATTGGAGGGGGGTTGCATGTGACGTCACTATCTTGCATCTTTACTTATTTTTCAGAAAATCGGTTGTTGCTGTTATTACCAAACTTACACGTGATTTAAATTATTTATCTATTTGTTTTTTTTTTTTTTTAAATATTGAATCAATTTTTAAAAAAAGAAATGTCTTATAGATGTGTTGTACCTCATTGCAAAGGATATTGCAAAAATGAACCTAAAGTCCATGTGTTTCCTTTTCCGAAAGATAAAACATTTTCTGACATTTGGACGCCTTCAATCAAAAGAATGGATTTTATAGCTAATAAATTCAGCAGGGTGAGTATTTCTTTGTATTAAACAACAAGGAAATTGAATTGAAATTTAATTACATTGTTCTAATTTTAATTCGCAACACATTAATTTAATTGTAATTCACAATTCATTAAGACAAAGTTACGAAATATCTAACGAAGTTTTTAAAAGAAAAACCGCATTTTTTTCAAAATAAATTTTAATTAAATTATCGATATGAATTCATAAAGGAAGATTTTCATAGACATAAAAAGTAATTCTAACATTTATTTTAGGATTATATTCCTAATTTTTCTTATTTCTTATTTTAATTTTTTTTAAAAATGTGTAAACGTTAAAAATTATGTTTATATCTACATAACTTCATCATTTTATTCAATAAAAATGTCAGACCATTTATTCATTTTAAAAATGCAGCTAATATTCTGTTTCAAATTGTAAAAATATTTTAAAATAGCTTCCTCACTAACAATTTTCTATTGAATTAATAAATTAAATTATGTTCCTTAAAAATGTCAGGACACTTCATTAATGTAGATTTTGCTTACTATCTTAGATTTTTACAAGAATCTACAATAGGTTTGGTTTCAAAAATCTTTTTTAGTTTTTAGATATGTGAAGTACATTTTCGAAGATATGAGGAGAGAATCTTCAGTTTTTGATGAAAAACAAGAGTCACAATTGTAGTTAAACTTCAGAAAATATATCGTCATGGTGGTGCTATGCCTAGAATTCTTCCCAAATATCTCTCATATTTATCTTCAATGACTTCCTCTCGCGAGTCACCAGACACTAAGGGAATTCGACTGGAGAATTCTGTCCTTAAAAGCGCTTTACTGATGATTTAGCAAACAAACAGCAGAATAAATTCCATAATATTAACGATCTAGGAAGGAAATTAAATTTTCTATTAGAAATTACTGGAGTATGCTAGGCAGCAAGAGACACTTAATTTATGCAGCATCATCAAATCCCCATTCCCAAAAATCAATCTGTCTCTTGTAATTGAATCTGATTTTGCAGGACATGTGCTTTGAAGAGATGTGGAAATGATTACAATAGCGAAGTATGAGGTTCTTAAACCTGTAAAAGATCAAAATTCTCTTGAAATTCTGACGGAAAACATGAAGAAAATGGACACAGGACATCAGCGAACCAAACCTCAAAATGTGATTTCTATATTAAAATTTGTGTTATATAGGAATAAAATGTCGCTGTCAAGACTGGGGTTTGAATATAGATCACCAGTGAGCAAACGTGGGCGACCCCATTTTGAATGAAGTAGATCACGTGACCATAAAGGAAACGCATACGTAGGGGGTAGAGTGACGTCTAATTGATCACCCTCTCTATTCTATCCTCTGTTACTACACGGATCACTCTTTCTACATTGTGATCTATCTCTATTCACTATACTATTCTCTATTCGGATCACGGTTCGCTGGTTACTTTCCGAGCGGGTATTATTGAGCATGTACTTTAGTACGAGTGTTATTCGAAGGCGTCTGGAACCCGTATTGTTCAACGGCGTTACTATAGTTGTATCTGCGATTACAAAGTCTCTACTACAACGAGAATTACGAAAGTGACAACGAGTATTCGGAGACATCACAAAAGTGGTAACGAGTGTTCGTTAAAATCACAAAAATTAGTAATGCTGTTTCTACTCTTGGTACAAGAAGAATCAAACAAATTTGATCAAATTTATATATGAGCAGCTAATTATTTCTCAAGAATTTCTCTTTGTCGAATTACAATGAATTTTCTTTGTTTCTCCTTTTACTAATACGACCTACAGAATTATTTGTCTATTTTCAAAACACACTCCAGATTATTTACATTTCTGCAAACCATATTTTGGACTCCACATTCTATCAGTGTTTCTCAGAAAGGAAAAAATTCCTATTTTTTCCATCGCTTCATATTTCAGTTACTGTTTTCTTGTTTAAAGTTTTCAACTTTTCTAATGCTCAATTCTATAGGAGGTTTCCGCATGAACCCTTTTAAGCCTATTTTCATACTACCAGTGTCACGATAGTACCAAATATTTTTCAACTTCGACCAGTGACCCTTTATATTGTCACAGGATAGCCATGTCAAAAACATTGCTTAGAGGTACAAAGAATACGAAGTTGTGACGTGCCATGGTTGCACACGTCCTGGTGGGACATCACATATCAAAAAAATAACCCGCTCAAATGAGACTTTCTCACTTATCTAAATATTCGATACTTATAGATTTCTATCATTCCTTTGGACAAACCGATAATTTCGGGATTCTTCCACCCCCTCTCTTTGTATTGCTCTTTGCCAATTTGCATTTTCTATTCTCTTTTCTTTTCACTGTCTTTCTTATTTTCTATGGCTCTCTCTCTCTCTCTCTCTCTCTCTCTCTCTCTTGTGCCTTTCTTTTTTAATTTCTCTTTTTGTCTTTTTCTCTTGCGTTTTTTACATCTTTTTTCTTGTCTCTTTTTTCTTTTTTTTACTTTTTTTTTGTCTTTTTTTTATCTCTTTCGCGTTTTTTTCTCTCTTTTCTTCTTCTCTCTCTCTCTTCATCAATTTGTCAGTTCTAATTTGTCTCTTTTTTTTTTTTTCCACTCTTTTTTTTCTGTCTATTTCTATTTTTCCTTGTCCTCTCTCTCTCTCTCTCTCTCTCTCTCTCTCTCTCTCTCTCCCCCTCTCTCTCCCTGGGTGCATACATCTGTTTTATTTTCTGTCTCTTATCACTGCCTTTCTTCCTATGTCTTTCCTGTGTCTATTTTTCTTATTTTTGTCTTGCTATGTCCACTCTCTCTCTTTCTCTCTCTATATATATATATATCTTTCCTGGCTACATTTGAATGTTCTGTTCTCTGCTTCTTTTCACTATAAGATTTTTCAATTTCACTATCTTTTCTCTCTTTTTCTGATTCAAGTTTTTCCCTTGTCTTTTTTTTTTTACTCTCTATTTATCTCGTCTTACTATCTCACTCTTCGATCTTTCCTGGGTGCATAGATCTATTTTATTTTCTGTCTCTAATACCTTTTTTTTCTATTTCTCTATCTTTTCTATCTGTTATTTCTTTCTTTTTTCTCTTTTTAATTCTCTGTTTATCTCTTTCTTTTTCTAAGTCCATACTTATATTTTATTCTTTGCCGATTTTTTTTTTTTTTTTAGTTTTTGTCGATTTTTTTTCTGTTTCTTTATCTTATCTCTCTCGCATATTTTCTTTGTTTATTTCGTCATGGTGGCGTTGTCTTTGTTTTTTCACATGTCCTCCTTTTCTCTTGATATTTTTCTACGATTTTCTTTGTTGCTCATCTTCTTGTTCTTCTTTTCATTTACCTATTCATTCATCCAGTCATTTTTCTTTTTTCTTCAATTCAATCTTTTTCTTATCCTTTTCTTTTTTTTCCTTTCTTTTTTTTCTCTCTCAGCCTTTTGTTGTCGTTCTTCTTTCCTCCATTGATTGTTCCACCATCTTTAAACGTAAGGATTTGGGCTGTCATCCAGCATTGATTTCAAATGATAAAACTGATGATGTCCCTTTAACACAGCGAGATTAGACGATAACCCCCAAGGAAGCGTCTGAACAAACGCAACATCAATTGTCAACTGGTGTAAATCCCGGACTTCCATAAAATATTCAAAACCAAAACTCAGATTTCATCAGAATCTTAAAAACTTGTTAACTTAGTTCTTCAGGAGAAGGAACTTAAATGGATGAGGTAGAGTTTTGTAGACTCAAAGGCCTGAATATTTATAACAGGTACCGTACTAATAACAATGGTTGTTAAAAAGTAATCTCTGACTTCAATTCAAACCAAGATAACTTTTTAACATCGTTTTTATTTTCTTCTTCCTACGTGTCGTATACGATCACGGTTCTCCGCAAGTTCCTGCCGTTTGTAGCTCTTAGTAAATTTTATCTGTTTTCTATCTCTCCCCAAACCTGTTCTTCTATCCATTTACACAAGCTAATTAAGTAAATTATGCGTTTTTTTTTTTACTCTGTCACTCTTGCCTTTAATCTGTCTTGTGAGTGTCAAATTCTCCAATCCTTCTTTCCTCATAATGAACTATAGGAATTTCAATTCTCTCTTTATGATGCTAACATTTCCACAATTTCACATTTCTTGCTTTTATCATCGAACCTAAACTTTACTCCGTCATCCATTTACTCGTTAGGTAGTTATGCGTTGTTTTCCTCTGTCCCACTTGCCTTCAATCTGCCCTGTGAGTATCACATTTTCTAATCCCTCTTACCTCATTATGTGATCTTGAAATATAAACTGTCTATTTCTCATGTTAAGTATAAGTATCGTTTTTTTTTCATTTTTCTATTCCTTCGTCTTTGCTCATATGTTCAGTCAATGGCATTCTCAGCATCCCTCTGTAGAACGAAATTTCTATTCTCTTTTCATCTGTGAGGAGATTTTGACTACATGTAAAGCCTGCAATAATCTCAGTGTCTGTTTTCTTTTTAAATTATGTTATGTTATATCCCTTCAGGGTGTGGACTATTTTGGTTCTCTACGGGATGCTTTTCTTTTTATTTTCTTTATCTGTGTATTACTACGACATCTTGAATAAGATAGTTCAGTCGTTTCCCATTGCCTTTCCCACAGATTGAAATTTTCAGTTTTCATTTATTCTTCGTGTTTTCCCCTCAACGTTCACGTGCTCAGTTTACCCTACTATTTTCCATATAACTAGACGGTGGAGAGATATTAGAATGTTTCATAGGAGGGCATTTATATGAAAGAAAACGGAAATGACTAGGCCAGAATTAGAACTAGGCTCGCTTATTCAAATAACAGTGACATTATTACATCAATGTAGGTTTGGGCTTGAAATCAAACAAATCGTAAAAAATGATCCATACGTTCAAGCCGAAATCCAAAGCTAAATCAAGGACTGGCAAAATCAATGATAATTCGGAATCAATAAACTTGCGAATCAATAAACTTTCGGAATGTTTCTAAATAAATCGAAAACCAAATACAATTAGGAAGAAACGAGATAGCTGTATCGGGGTGTTAATATTCGGTCAGTGATTGGTTATAATAACCAGTTAAAAATTCATTTATGTCAGTTGAATCCGTCAAATGATGAAAGTAGTAAAAAATAAAAACAAAAATAAAACTAATCATTTTATGGAATTTCTTTTTGTTATTTAACGACATCGAATGAATCTCCTGACGATTAACAAGGTGTTTCCATGATTGTTCAATGGGCTTTCTCTCCAATCTTCAATGTTATCCATCGTACATAGTAGTAGTTCATATATTATAAGAATACATTCGATCTAAAAAAGAATACTGTTTATTGAATACCTCATGAACACATTAGAATGAAAACACATTTGACTTCAAGAGTTTAGTGAATATCTCATTAATACTTTAGTATGAAACACATTAGATTTAACATTAGTGTTTATTGGATGTCTCATAGACCTATTAGAATGAAAACACATTGATTCTAAAAAAAATAGTGTTTATTGAAATTTATTAAGAATTCACTGAGTAGTGCTTATTGAATGTCTCATGAACACGTTGGTATAAAAACGCATTGGACCGAAAGAGTAGTGTTTATTGGATATCTCCTGAACACAAGGATAAAACACATTGAATCTAAAGTGTTGTGTTTATTACATGTCTTATAAACATGTTAGCATAAACACATTCGATCTAAAGGGAGATTATTGGATATACCATGAACGCATTAGGATAAAAACACATTGCATCTAAAGAGTAGAGTTTATTCAATATCTCATGCAAACTTTAGTATGGTTTGGTTTGGTTTGGTTTGGTTTAGTTTGGTTTGTTTTTTTTAACGACATATGAACCTCAATGGGTAATTTAATGCAGATAATTTTTTTTATTGCTGGTAATATTTTTTTTAAAAAAAGCGTTGTTTAGATCCAGTGACAGGACCCAAAGAGTTGTGAGTTTAATACCTGGTTAAAACGGTGGAGAACTTGGAAAGGGGAATTAACAGGAGATAACTGATAACTGACATCCATTAAACATGGCAAATGGAACTCGAACAGTCTACCCCAGCGAGCGAAATAAAGGGTTCAGTGCGGTATTTCAACCACCTGAAGAAGGCGGGAGCGTACATCGGCCGAAACTTTGTGATAAATATGGCAACAAATATGAGGATGATAGTCCGAACAATGTAAATAGTGTACTCTGAATTAATAGACATTGAATAATATATGAAATATAAGAAAGAGGTTAATATGTCTGTGAGAATAGTATTGACATGGCGTGTACGTATGGCTTCTGTGAATTGCTTTCCAATTTGTACCTATCTATTTTAGTCTTATTCTTCGTTAAGGGCGTTACTATTTTTTCGGTTGAAGTTGGTCGTCGCAATCGATGCTAAATTTGTCAAGTCTGCTGCCCACTTGGCGCACAACAAGAAAAGAGAAATTTCCCTTTCAGTTCAGTGGCAGTCGAACATCGTACCATTGACCCTGGCATGAGATTCTCTTGAGAATCACGAATGTGTGTGAATAATGTCGCTCGATGCATCGTCAGAAAGTCGAAACCTGTCATACATGTGGTCAATTAGAACTTCCAGGATACAAGCAGTAGTAATAGTGTTAACTAGCAGTAGAGCGCGGCGTTGCCCGGGGATGTAACAGTAAGAGATAAATCAAGTATCGGCCATCATAAAGACTGAAAAATAAAATTGACAAAGATTATTGTTTAAGGTTGACGAACGCGCATGTCTTAATTAGTATTTTTTGTTGTTTTTTTGTTTTGTTTTGTTTTGTTTTTTTACGAATTGGTCAAACCCAAACTTAAACAAAAACATTGTTTTCAATCGTTATGAGTCTACCGATTGAATAGAATTTTATTATAAACAATTGCCTTGTAAATGGAATTTTTAAAGCATTCTGAATGTAAAAATAAAGAAAAAAATGTGTGCAAGACAATAAGAAAAACTACCTGCCCCCCAAAAAGTGAAGTTTTGTTGAAATTGGTTGAAAAATGTAGGAAATCCGATCCCATATATAAACGTACACACACACACACACACACACACACACACACACACACACACAAACACAAACAACCTGGGTTTTATAAGTATAACTCGATATGAGTTGTCCGCCTTTCATTCTCGCGACAGCGATGCCTCTTAATCGTGTTTTCAAATTGATTTCCTGCAAAAACAATTGTGTTTTTCCTATTTTTGGCGCTGTCAGAACCACCGCAAGATAGTTTTACGTAGTCCTGTGAAATTTTGTTGAAATCGGTTGAAAAATGTAGAAAATCCGATCCAATATATAAACGAACAAACACACACACACAAACTGCGTTTTATAATAAGTATGATAACATGACGGAATGCGTCTTTAAATCTGAAATTGAAATATGCTTTGTTGGAAATGTTGGCAAACATTTTAAGTACTTTTGATATCTCATAGTTGGGAAAAGAATGGTCTTGAACAAAAAAAAAAAAATCAACCCCCTCTACCAAATTTTCCAAGAAATAGAACTCAAGATAAGCCTTTCCAAAACTGAAAATATGACCTGAAATTGGAATGATGGCATCTACCCTGAATCCATCATAAAAAATCAGGAGGTGCTTTTATTATTTACCAAATATAGATCAGTTATAACAATTTTTATATAAGAAACAAAGAAATTGAATATAGAATAAATAAAACTAGGGGTAGTTTTGCCTAAAACCGCTAATTTCTACAAAACCAAACATTGACCAGAAAACAAGTGTCATATTCATAAATAGTCTTGTCTGATTGAAATCTTCATATGGATGCCATGAATGGTGCCAAAAGCGTTCAGAAATATCTAAATTGTATACAACCATTCTCAAAGATCAACGTGAAGTCTGTGGAACTTAGCAAAGATGATTCTTATTCGAATGTGTACTGGCGTGACAGGATCACACACAAAAAATGTACCAACTAACAAAGACCACATTATTTCAGGACTTGCAAATCGGTATCACAGGTAACTTGAAAAGATTATAACCACTTAATGACGATGTTGATATTCTACAATACTCCAAATAAAACGTTAGGAAAGAAATCTCTATCAATAATAGAAAAAAGCCATAAGAGTTACTGGAATTAAGAAACCTATTTGAAAAGCTAAGCAGAGTATTAAGATACAGGAACATTTCGTTAGAAACAGAGAAAAGAATAATGCACTGTTACATGATATTTGTCCTCCTGTATAGCAGCGAAAACTGGACAATCTCATCAAAGATGAAAAACATACTTGAAGCAACAGAAATGCAGTTTTACAGAATGATCCTGTGGGAGTTATGGACTGAACATTTGAGAAATAACGAGGTTTTGGAGAAAATAGAAACAAAAAGAAACTTATACTTAACACCAGGAAGAGAAACGCAACGTATTTGATGAGTTTGAACAAAATGGATGACAGAACAGGGTTTGGGAGAAATACCAAAAAGACAAAATTTATTAAGAGCTACAAGGAACAGGAAGA